TGATGAGTTTCATACATTAATAGGGAAAGACAGATGTTAATCATTATATCTCACAAATACTTGTAAAATCACAGTAATGATAACCAGTATTTGAAGGGTATCTCTGTGAAGAGCATGTGGGTAGGGTGTTTCAGAGTTCTGACTGGTTGAATTTGCTTGTGGTCGTCCTGGACCAAATGAGACACACATGTACAAACATACCCTTCCCTGTGACAGCTCTGGAGGGGAGGTCATGGTGCATGGTCTATTTTTCAGAAGATTTGATCATATTTTATTTGTACTTCATACATATTTAGCATTGCTTAGTTCATCAGATTCATCAGATGAAAAGTCTCCAAACATAATTTCCTCACCAAAATGATGCCTAGAAAAATTTTAAAAATATCAAACTATCTTGAAGTTCTGAAAATCATCTGGCTTGCCAAGATCACATGTTCTTCATATTAAAGCAAAATTTGACTCCAGATCTGGTGGGAAATACAGCATCCCTTTATTCCCAGGGTTCACCAGTAAATGTTCATCTGGCAAGATTTACTGAAGACTTGGGGCAAAAGATGATTGCAATGGTCATTAAGCCACAAGGCAACATAGCAGGAAAAAAAACTGATATTGGACATTCCAGATTTTAAAAGTCCCTCAAGCATTTCCTTCCCTAGAGATTTTTTCGCTGCTTTTTGTCTTTAGCTCGGCCTCTGTCATTTTCTCATATTGCTAAGTCTATCCCAGCTATGCCCTGGGGGTGTCTTTCAACAACTGTCTTCTTTGTTGAGAACAATAGGACTGACTGAAGAGAAAATAAAAGGATCCTGTTATCAAATAATTTGGGGGAGCTCTGGTTTAAATACAGTAGGAATTTTTTTTTTAACCCAGAGTCTTTAATGCACTAATATAGGTTGTAAATTGCTAAGAGAGTAATTTTCAAAAGTCTTTAACAAGATCTATTTTAACTACGTCTCAGAAACTGTAGCATTTATGATGACTTTGGCAGCACATAGCACAATCTCTGACTTACAGTGATTTGAGCAACAACAATTTGATCATTTTGTAGGATGGTTGATTCCATGGCTCAGTGATGACACCAAGGGCTCAGATTTTTTTCCCCTCTTTGCTTCTGCCATCCTAAGTGTTGACTTTATAGTCAGACTAGCAGCAGGATGGCTGCAGCAGGTCCAGGCCTCAAATTACAGTGGCAGCTTCCTTAAGAAGAGGAGTGACCATTTCTTCTTAGGGCTTTATTCTTGGAGAGAAAAGACTGGTTCCAGAATCCCCCAATAGACTATCTGTCACATGTCTTTGGCTGGAATTGGGTCTTAGTCTTATTCCTAAACTAATCCATCACAAGGAGGAATAATATATAATGAATAACACCACACCCTTAGGGATATCGTGACATTACCCAACCGCTGACTTACTCTATCTTGGGTGAACTCTCCTTCAAGCTATGTGGCTAGAAAAGAGTAAATCTAACCAACACATTTGCAGACAGGATTTTGGCAACATAGCAGATTCTGGCCTCCCTGGAAAAGTTTGAAAACTTTGTCTAATGTTTATGAGGAAAATTATTTCTTTTTATGTATGTTATTTGAATCTAATTTTAGTGATCAACAAACTCTCTGTGAATGTAGGAAACCCACCCTTAGTAAAGTCATTTAATCTTTAAACTCATTTAATCCTATCAGTGGGGTTGTTAAAATAAACATGGGTGATTCTAACATGACTGGGAGTTTACACAACTGCCCTGTTTGTAAGAGCCAAGAAATTATTGTGTTTATCATAGACAAAAGATGACCTTCACTTGGGGATTGGATTGATTTCCAACAGGAAGATTATTCTGTAAACCTAATTCCCATAGGGATGTGGGTAATTGTTATACACGTGTCTCTGTTTGTTGACTCAGTTGTTTGAAGGTCCAGATGCAGCCTGTTGGAAGGTTTGTCTAACAATTTAATTTTTCACTTCTTCATTTTTAAAGCTTCATTTTGGCTTGGATTTATTTTAGGTGACAGCACATATAAGTAGAGGAAAAGGAAAAGAACTAGGATCATTAAATTGATGGATCAGAGACTTAAATTATTTTTAATGAACTTTCTTTCTTGATTTCAAAAGGATTATAAGAAAAAATATCATTTCCAAATCCGATTAATCTTTAGCACCTCAATTATGTCATCTGTGGTGTCTTTCTAGGCAAGGGTGACTTACAAATTACCCAGATTTCAGACTGTGGAGGCTGAGATATTCCCCAAGCTTCATTGTTTAAAGGTGTTTATTTTATAGCACTTTTTAGTTTCATTATATTATTTTTCTAGAGTAATAGCCACCAATTGTTTCATTAGTTTCCATCACGACGTTGCCTCAGAAAGATCATGGATTCTTTAAATTGGAAAAAAAAAATCGTATTCTTGTTCAAAATTTCATACAAACACTTTCATATTTCAAAAGTGCATTGCATATAATAATCGTGTAAGAAGTATACTTGAGTACTACAAATAATCAGAAGTGTACTGAAGTACACATTGAGTTATAAATGGCACACACACGAATATGATAAAGATAGATCACACCCTACTTGGTTAACATCAGTAGTACACAGGCCTCGTCCAGGTTACAGGTGCTCTCGAACTACTATAGAGTTGTCTGTAGGTCAGCCAAGACCAGGGAAGATATTGGGGAAATTCTATGTAGGATATTATGACATTTTTCAAATCTTCTCTGTCTCTGCAGCCTTAAGCCGAGGAAGAATTTCTTGTGCTGTCATATCCAGGAAGGCTATGTTAGTAGAGTGTTGACTAAAGATGTCATTTGATTTTTATCATTCCAGTCTTTTAATCTGGATGTAACTAACAAGCACAGACAGTCTCCTGCAGCCTGTCTGTGTCTGAGATATTTGACCACAGATGGACATTGCTTTCAATGGACAGTGCCTTTTAGAAATCTTTCGGTCTGCAAAGATGATGGTAGCACACAACATCATGACTCAGCAGGCTGACAGATCCTTTCCTCCTCAATATGCCCTCCATGTTGGCTGTCTTCACTAAGGATGCTTTGTTTCCAGGGGTTAAGTGATGTCAGCTAGGGTTCATCTCTACCCCCGTGGTGTACATTGGATACTACCAAATAAACCTCGTGGCTGAGGGAGGAGAGGTAAAAGCAATGACATAGTGCAGCCTTGGAGAATATCAAGATTCCTATCTGCAAACGCAGGAGGTGTGCAACCCTCAGGCCTCCTTGGGAGTCTTGGCTATCCTTTCCATCACCAAAGTCATTTATGCAGAACTTCAGTAACTTTGACTCTGTCCAACTGCTACAACAGTAGGCTGAATGATTCCAAAATAGGAGCTCCTTCTCCTCTAAGAGCATTTATAGGCAACTTACACAAAGACAGGTCGGTCCGGGTACCTATAGCGGCAGATGCTGGCAGACAAAGAAGGCTGATTTGAGTCTATTGATTTAACTCAGTTCCAAATGCAACAAAGACTAAACCCTTTGTTAGGTTAGGAGGAAGGGGCACTTACACGTGACCCCGTTTCCTCACCTCTTCCTTTTCTCTATTTCTCTTTGTGAACTGATTTCTTAGAAGAAAGTCACTGTGTTGTAGAACCAGCACCATACCTGGAATCAGAAGACCTGGGTTTAAATATCTGCTCTGAGAAACTGAGTCAATCTTGCCAATTTCACTTTCTTCATAGTAAAACAGGGACAATCTCAAATCGGTTGTAAAAAATTTTGAAATGAATGAATAAGGGTGTGGCACAGAGCATGTCACACTGCGAATACTCAGTGTGTTCCATTTGCTACCAATCTAGTTTCAAAACAGGGAAGAACCTTATATTATGTTTGGGTAACATTTTGTGGTCCTTGAAGTAGCAAAGCTTCAGTGTCCTTAGTCCTGACCATATTTCTGAGAATGCTAGTAAACGAGACATGACTTGTCTTTTAAGAGATAACTCATAGTTGAAACTAGTTTTTTACATTATTGGTAGATAATATATTGCAAAGAGAATTGTCTCTCATCTGCTGGGCAGAGGCCAGGGCAAAGTGAGATAGATTCTGGAGAACAAGGGATGGGGGGAGGAAGCAAAGATGGGAAGTGAGATTGCTGGGTTTGGGGTCCCAGTTCTGCTCACATGTCATGTAATCTTGGAAGGGTGATCCAGCCTCTTTGGCCTGTTCCTCCAGTCCTCAGAAGGCTGCTGGGTTTAACAGACCTTAAAGGTGAGTTTGTAGGGCTGTGCAGAATGTTTCTATTCTTAAAAAAAAAAATGCGTGTAAACTCTCCCTCTCAGCATCATACCACAGTGTCCTAAGTGCCATGAAGCTTTCCTCTGCCCTGTGAGCGGGTCTTTGTGTGACTTTCCCCAGCTCAGGGAGCAGGCTGAAGGGTCGCTGAGACATGGGCCAAAGGCATTTTCATTCTTACATGCCTCCCATCTCTGCAAAGGCTGTCAAATTCCTCCATGGAGGAAAGCAATGAAACGGAAAGAAAAATGCCATATAACCATTTTCCACTCTAAGGAGCCAGCTTCCTTTTCCAATGTGTGAAGGTTTTCTAGTGTGTCCCCAGGGCCTTGAGTGTTTCAAGAAGTTTGCAGGACACTGCTGTACTCACTCAGCCTCCAAGTCTCTCACCCCCTCCCAGCCCCTTCTCCAGAGTCCCCAGGGTTTCCAGGTATAAATCAAGGGACTGCAAGAGCTCTGGCTGGGAGGAGCACAGTGCGAGGGAAGTTGGTGGAAAGTGGGAGGCAAGAGGGGGAAGGGAAGAGACTTTCAGCAGTGGAAGGGACTCTTGAGACCCATTTGCAAGACAGACACTTCAGTCAGCGCGATTTCTACATTCCAGCCCCTTTAAAGGCCAGCAGTAGAATCAATAGAATGCCTGCCTGCTAGCCGGTTAGTAATGGGGCAGTTAGATGGCAGCAATGAGCTGGCTGGCTATGGGATCCATGGGCTGACAGAAAGACCATTGAAAGTTGACTTTTCCACTTTTCTTTGTCTTTCCCCAGGGCAGCCGCTGAAGTTCTGGCAGCATTGCTGAAATCCAGTAAGTACCTCTTTTGAAACATGGTTCTTTCCTCTCTGAGTTCAGAGAAAGATGCTGTTCTGTCTCAATGGCTCCTTTTCTACCTGGAAGGCAATAGAGCCATTCCTGGATCTTTGCGGTGAGAATGGAGACTGTTGTCGCTGTTCCAAGCACAGGGCTGCAAAGAGAGAGTTAATCTCTCTCTCTGTGGATGTGCTCGTACTTAACGCTGCCAACGCAATTGGCTGTAAAGGGAGTGTATTGTCTACTGCAGACCCAAGGAACTGTCCAGCTCCTTTTAATGGGACCAGCAGCCCTCAAGGACTGTTGGAATAAATTGCAGGCTCCAGTGGAATTCTCTTACGGAAGAGAAGTTTAAGACAGTGGGTGGGAAGTGGGTTTCTTGCATTTGATTCCCAACTCAGCTAGCGACTGTATTCTTGGGCAGATGGGGTGTTGGAATTGCTTGGACAGTGTAGATGCTAACAAATTTATATTAAAAAGTTGGCTCTTTACTCAGTTACTTGAGTGATTGCAAAAGAATAGCTTTGGGGGTCTGAATAATTTTAGATTTCTTTCTTTTTTCTTTTCTTTTCTTTCTTGCCCAATAGCCCTGATCTAATTACATCGGGAGTCAATTTCATGTGTGCGGTATTGTAGACGGCACCATGCACTTGGGAGTGGAGAAGTCTTAGCTGAATTTTTAAAATTTTTTTCCCCCTCTTTACCTCTTCATCTATTTTAATTTGGCACCTTGGAAACTAACTGCTGCAATTGTGATATTTGTCGCTCTGTAGGGAGCCCGCGGCATGTGGGTAATAGTTGAACTTTAATAAAACTTATAAATAAATAAATAAAAATCAAAACGCCTTTTCTCCCCCCAACCCTACATCTCTGTCAACTCTAAGTGCAGAGAAAGGATCCTATCACACAGTACTTCCTTCCCCCTCTGTAGACTGAAAAAAACCCTGAAGATTGAATTCATTTGGTTTATTGGAACTTGATATAATACAGGAGTCTATCCACAGCTTCCTGACCTGCAGGGGGAGTGAAGGTGGGTAGAGCAGATTGGGGGACAGAAGAGTGAGAGGCTATGAAGCCTTCGAGATAGGAGGGGATGAGAAAGCGTTACCTGCAGGTTATGGGACGAGGATGGTTCATTGTTCAGACTGAACTTGCCTCAGGCCGGGCATCTGGGTTCTCATTATTTCCCTGCTCACTCTGTCTGCTTACCTGATTATAACACCAGGTGTTTGAGGAAGGAAGGTGAGGAAGTTCTTGGACTGAAGGGAGTGGAGGTGCCGAGAGTGGCTGGGTCAGGAAGGTGGCTTTCTCCTGTATCCCCCCGAGCCCAGCAGCCTTGATGTTTCGTGGGAGGCAAGCCCTGATAGCCAGGAAAGGCTGACTTACCTTTCTGCGCGTGCGCGCGCGCACACACACACACACACACACACACACACACACACACACACACCTGAAGCTTCAAGTGGACAGCGTACTCAACCATGTGTAAAAATCTGAACGTCCTCACATGCCGGTTGTTAACTATTTCCATATAAACACGATGCATGTGTCCAGGAGAAACCCACAGCCAGGATACACGCTGACTGACTCAGGCTTGGAGCATTAACCAGGTTTTCAGCACACTGGCCATGCTTAGCAAATGGAGTGGGCTGTGCGAGGGGCCCAGCTTTTAGAGTTTCTGGCGTCTGCTCTCCCTTTAGAGCTCAGCTCAGACACGGGTCCCCCTGCAAACACCTTCCCTGACTCCCAAGACCAGGTCAGATGCCCCTCCTCTGTGCCTGCCCCCGTAGGATCTCCCAACTCAGCATCTATCGCACCGTATTGGATCTGCTGTTGTCCGTCCCTCCCAGCTGACTGCTGACTTCTGAGGGCAAGGGCCGTCGTATTGATCATTGCATTACTTGCATCAGCACAATCGAAACCCTAAAATAAATATTTGTGGACTAAACTTTCAGATGAACGGATGATTTCTAATACTGACATGTATAAACTGGCAATGTCCACCCCCAACCTGAATCCAACAACCCATGCATAAAACCGAAGATCTCAGCCTTCGTAGTTCCAGTTTCTATTTATCATACCAATAGACTGCCAGGGAACTGAAGGCCTGCTTTTCTCCACATGGAAAACAGGCTTTGCTGTCCCATTAGAAGGATGTACAGGGTTATTTGCTAATTCTCCTGAGCTGTCCGCACGGTCTTGTATCTGAGTCTTAGGTTCATCCCCAACACAAGAGAGCTGGGTGAGCACGGCTCTAATGTTCTTTCTACCACTAAACACTCAGCCTTAATGTGTAACAGGGTTTCACAACCTTGACACCCTTGCATTTTGAACTGGATGGTTCTTCGTTGTTGAACCCTGTCCTGTGTATTTGGGAATGTTTAGCAGCATCCCTGGCTTTGACTCCCCAGATGCCAGTAGCACTCCCAATTGTAATGAACAAAATTGTCTCTAGATACTGCCCATGTACCCTGGGATGTCAAAATTGCCTCCTTTTGAGAATCACCAATGTATATTTGGCCACACACATGAGCTGAAGCTCGTTCAAGGTTTCAAATTATTCATCCCAAAGACCTTTATTGGTATTTCACAGAAATGCCATTCTTGCATAATTGGTCTTAAATTCCCAGGCATTGGCATCATTCCTGTGGGTTCAAATGAAGTAAGAATACCAATGGCAGAAAGTCATTCTAAACATGCAGAAATTCCTTGGGAGAGAGCAGATTCTAGAGAGCTAGAGGACCTTAGGACAGGAGGTCAAAAGTTCTGTTATAAGTACTAACTCCCAAGTGTGGGTAGAAGGGATCTGAGATCATGTTTGAGCTCAGCAAGAAAGGGGGCTGTTTTTTAAAAAAAAAAAATCATTATTATTGAAGTCTAGTTGATGTACAATATTATGCAAGTTACAGGTGTACAATATAGTGATTCACAATTTTTAAAAGTTATACTCCATTTATGGTTATTATAAAATATTACTATATTCCCCATGTTGTACAATCTCTCCTTGTAGTTTATTTTATACCTAATAGTTTGTATCCCTTAATCCCTTATCCCTATATTGCCCCTCCCCCATTCCTGGTAACTACTCATTTGTTTTCTATCTGTGAGTCCTCCTCCTTTTTTTTATATTCACTAGCTTGTTGTCTTTCTTAGATTCCACATATAAGTGATATCATACAGTATTTATTTTTCTCTGACTTATTTCACTTAGCCTAATGCCCTCGAAGTCCACCCGTGTTGCTACAAATGGCAAAGATTTGTTCTTTTTAACGGCTGAGTGGTATTCCATTTTATATATCTTCTTTACCACATCTTCTTTCTCCTTCATCTGTTGATGGACACTTAGGTTGCTTCCCTATTTTGTCAACTGTAAATAATGCTGCTATGAAAATTGGGGGTACATGTGTTTTTTTGAATTGGTAGGGTTTTTTGGGGGGATATATACCCAGGAGTGGAATTGCTGGGTCATATGGTAGTTCTATTTTTAGTTTTTTTGAGACAACTTCATACTGCTTTCCACAGTGGCTGCACCAATTTACCAGCAGCAGTGTGTGAGGGTTCAAGAGGGCTGTGTTTAAATAGCAAAGTCTGTCATGGATTTAGGGCAGAGCAGTTGTCATCTTTGTTCTAACAGCCTAACCAGAGTATTGCATGGAGGGAAGGTCTGGGTATGGGTGGTACCACCCCATTTAGGCTGAGCTTGCTGCGGGGGAGGTGAGAGCCATGGAATTCTCTCATTACTCTCTAATGTCTCCATGCGTAGTTAAGACTTGACATGGAAATGTCTGTCATTTTGGGTTCCAGATGAGTGTCAGCTAAACCTAAAATTCAAACCCTCACCACCTGGCACTGATATCCGGGAATGTTGATGTGAACCTTTATCTCCTGAAAGCACACTCTTCTTGGCTGGTGATTTTTCTGGCCTTGGTGCTTGTTTATCAGGATAAAAGCCTTGGCCATTTTAGTGTATCTCTATAGTTACGTCACAAAAGGAGAACATTCCCCAGTCAAAACAGAGCCAGAAGGACATACATATCCACTGCCTTGGGAGCAGTCTGTGTTCCCGTGACAGTGAACGTGGGTGGGCTTGGGAATCTGAGGTCAACAAGGACCTATCAAGTAGTGGGTGGCGGGAGGCAATCCCCACCAGTAACAGGGGCTGAGGGATCTGGGAGGCTCGGAGCGCAGCCCCCGTCACAACAGAAAGAAAGGAAAAGAGCATCCAGTTGCATTAGGACAATTTTGTCATTTTTCCTCTGCTCTCTCTCCCATCAGGTAGCTACCACCCAAGAAGCTAGTGCAGGACAGGTTGATGGTAGACAGAGAGCAACGAACCAGAAGACATCTCTCATCTCTTTCCCTTTCTGAGCAACAGCAGGCAAAATAAGCTTGAAAGCCCTAAGCCTCTTTCCCAGTTGTTTCAGAGACTTAGGATCCTAAAAATTAAAAGTCATGGCTCATTCAGGTGTCCTTTTTGTACGTACACGGGCTTGAACAGTCTCATCCAGGTTCCATACCTTCACTGTCTCAGCTCCGCCAGCTCCACTCACGCATGCACCAGTGCGACTTACATTTTCCTGTTTAGAAAGTTCTGCCCTTTGATGTTTTATCCTTTGCAAAACCATTTAGCTTTTTATTACCAAAATTTAATAAAGCTTTGATTAAGAAACTGCTTTTAGGGGGAGGGCATAACTCAGTGGTAGAGCGCGTGCTTAGCATGCACGAGGTCCTGGGTTCAGTCCGCAGTACCTCTATTAAAAAATTAACAAATAAACCTAAATTACCTACCCACCCCAAAACAAACAAACAAAACTGCTTCTAGTTGCAGGCAATTTTTTTCTTCTAATAAATCAAAATAACACACTGTCCTTTGTCCCTGTCCCTTTTTGCTGTCTGCCTCCACTCTGCCTTTCTCTCTCCCATCTGTGTCTCTACCTGGACCTCTGTCTCTTTTTCTTTTCCCCTTCATCTTCTTCTTTCCTCATTGGCCCCTCCAT